AGACGTCGGGTGGGTCGTTAAAACGGATCGGCTATCGCGGAAATTGGACCAATCGTTGCGAAAAACGTAGCTAGTACGCAGCGAGGTCGATAGAGTAGTTTGCATGCAATAAATATTAATGCGCCGCGCTCGGCCGCGCAAATATTTGCGATCGACAAGCGCGTTGGGACGACGATAATTGGTCTAATGAATGCGCGGCGAAATTCCATCTCGAGGAAGCCCGGAGGAAGTGAGGAGGGACGCGGAAGGTCGAAGATGACGAGACTTTTTGTCATTCGCCAGGGACCTTGTCTGCGAGGCACGCATATTCATCGGCGCGGAAGTGATTCGATCGATGATTTCCTCCTTGGCAAAAAACGCATAACAATATCCTCGAATCGACACAAGTACAAGTTTACGAGCGTCTCGAATGGCTGGGTACCAATTGCGTCGACGATTGATCAACGCTACCGACGATCGAACATCGACGAAATATGTATTTCGTTATATACAGTCAATCCCATAAATATATAATATAAATATATATAAATATATATAGCATACATAGCATATATACATGTATACATGTATAAGCTTATTCATACACATATTTATAATGAAAAATTAATATATATATCTACATATTTATACAAATATATACTTGGAAACATCAAACCTATTTAATTTAACCAAATATCTTCAATAGGCATAGAGGCTGCGAATATTTATGAGACTGTGACTGTAAATCAAGCTTTTCAGTCCAATTTTGTTCTACAAATCCAGTGATAATGATTATTTTGTGATTTAAATTTTGGTTTTGAGTTCCTTGCGTAATGTCAATTTTAATTATCGCTCGGTTGTGTAACTTAAACTTGTATTCTATTCAAAGAGCTACACGTATGTAATTATAATAAAAACTTGGTCTCTGGCGACGAGCGAAGAAAGCGAGATCCGCCATTAGGAGTGGCCATTTCACGTCGCCCATTTTCTCTAAATCTCTATTCCGTGCGCGAGTGGTTTTTTCGGGAGGACCGCCGGAGCCGGATCCGTTTAGAAAGGGGCCTGGGTTCGGTGGCTCGCCGCGATTGGCCGCCTAAATCCACGGCCATATTTAGTCGCCCGGGCCCCTCCTGGTTAGAAGGGTTTGACGTCATCCGAGTCAGGTATTCGAAGGCCACGCGTCGCGAAGCGCCGCGAACGACGCGTCACGCGGATTGATTTTCCCAGCAAAAACGTTAATTAATCGCTACCGATCCCATCGGACGAAAAAACGACCCGCGGATCGCGTACTGCGCACTGTCCACAAAAAGGCACTCGTTGCCTCTAGCCTCTGGCACTCCGAAGCCGAGCAACAGCTACGAGACATTTCGTTCGTTTGCGAAATAATTCTACGCCGATGGAACGTCGGTTAAATTTGTGGCTCTGATTTGGGATGCCAAGAGTTTTCTATATGACCCGTTCACTGGACAAATCTTAAATTCAAGTGTCAAAGCACTTGGTATTGTCGTAACTTTTTACATTTATAATAACTTTCCTGAATAATAAAGATTAACACCAGTAAACGACGACATTTATTTTGGTCGTTGATAAATAAATAGTTTATTTCAGAGGCCATTTTGATCGCGTTTCTCAACTGTTTGTGCAACGAACGGCTCGTATATATATTCTCTGTTGAGTGGAGAAACGAATAGCTAAAAATATTAAAAGAGTTTAATTCGCGTCGACTTCAGCGCACCGCTTATGGGTGTTACATCCCATTCACTGTTTTCTAGAAGCGGTCCGATCGAGTTCAACCTGTTCCGAGAAAGAAAAAAAAAACTCTACCCGTGTTTCGCATATTGATAACTCGGATCTTTTTTCGTGCAATCTTTCAAGGTATCGATACCAGAATCGATCGTATACGCAATATAGTCACGTAGGTTACGTAATATAGTCTCTGTAGGAAATTGGGTTGCGACTACGCGAAGCGTTATCGCGATTACGAATCGAGGCGGTCGAAGGAATTCGAGAATTCCTTGGTGAAAAGCGCCTCGGCGCGAGATCGATGGGAGATCGATTCGAGAAATTCGTTTGGTCGAGGCATCGCGATACTCGTTCGAGAGGAAGGCCTACTTCTCAGCCAAGTTTCGAACCGCGAGGATCGGTACCAAACGGCGCGGCGGTTTGGTAAGATTCGCTACCTACAAACCTACTTCCTATCCGTCTCCAGTCGCCACCTACTATGGCCGTCGCGACCTTCGACATCGCGGAAGTGCACGTAATCGACAGGATCGTGTTTGCTCACCGATCCATACGAGACAGATATTAAATCCGGCTACCTCCTGTTTCGAAACGAAACTTTTTTTTCCCGGGTACCCTCTAATCGCGTATCTAATCGCGAACCGATATCTACGGCCATCCATTTAACTTTCGATAACGAACGATCGGCCGGCCGAGAATGTAAAACTATTGTTTGAAATCGCGGAAAATGCAACGATATCTAGGCGTCGATGTCACGCGCGTAAATCTGCGATTCGTGGAAACGATCGAGCGGATAAAAACTCATCGAAGGATCTTATCAGGCACGTTTCACCGTAATAGGCGAAAACTACAACTGAATTAATCGAGTGTCGGTTATCGATCGAGGGGACACAAGGACAAATTGTAACAGCGATATAACGAATGTTAAGAAAGCACTGCTAGCGATAGGTACGCGTATAAAGATTACTTTTTCTCATTTACTTACTAGCTCGTGCACTAGTCGAAGATCATCTTTCACATGAGCCGTTCGTTGCACAAATCGATCAACTCCGTAAAACAAAAAATTGAGAAATGCGATCGAAATGGCTTCTGAAATAAATTATTTATTATTCAATGGTCAAAAAAATTGGTTCGTTTAATGGTGTTAATCTTTATTATTCGGGAAAGTTATTATAAATATAAAAAGGTACGACTATACCAAGTGCTTTGACGTTTTACAATTTTTCAAAAAGGAAGTTAATCGATTCGTGCAGTGAACGGATCATAAAATGCAATGAAAACTTGTGAATCTTTTTGCAACAATACTACCCGTCTTAAGTTATCTTCCCAAGTATCAAAAGGGGTTGTTATATTTATAGATGTTGGAAAGTTCGATTGGATATTTCAGAAAAAACAGAACTTTGTGCCGGTTCCGTATCGATCGCTTCCCGGAGCTCTTACAGAATCGGCTTTTGTTTTCCAGCGTTGCAACGCATTCTTTTCTGACGCGCGCAAATTAAAGAAACCGTGTACGCATTACGGGCCTCTACCTCGTCAATAAATAAATCGATAAATAAATCACTCGATTTCGATACAACGCACCGACGTCCGAAATAGAACACGCTCTCCCCAATCGAAACGGCACATCCCGAAAGCCAAACGCGCAAAGTTCAACCGCTCTTACCTCGCGAACGGCGCCGGCGTCACGGTTCGCGAAACAGCCAGGGACATTTTTTGGTTTTCGCCGCATCGATCTGTGCCGAACGAACGACCCACATTTTTGTTAACACCCTGTATATATACGGTTGCAATGAGCAATTATTCCTAGTGGTGACTCGCCGGTGGGTAAGAAATTGTGCAGCTTACTTTCAAACGTGGCCGGTGGCTTCAAGGTTCTTAAAACCATTGGTAATGCATTCCAATCGGTCGCTCGAAAGATAGAGAGAGGTTCCGAGAGACGGATTTAGCATTAGAATCTACAAGGACAACGCGCAGGATAGTTGGTCGCCGAGCTGAATCCAGAGAAACGACGTACCGCCGAGAGAAATACCTTCGCGAGACAAATAAGATTTTATAAAAAGATACCACCGCCTAGAAAATACGTGAGCGTGTGCGTGTGTGTCTGCAACGGGCAACCGTGTCTCGTTAGAATTCAACGCTCGCGTTCCCGTAATACGATGAATAATTCCTACTGGCGGAAATTAATTTCCTATTTTTCTTCTTCGTTCGACGCTCGTACGCGCTCGCCGTTTTCGCGAATCCAGCCCCGTGGCGCGGTGCCGCCTCTAAGACCAGGGCGCGAAACGTATTCGAAGTTGGCGAAATTACGATTGAAACGAACCTAACGAATTATTCAACGGCCGTGGACAGTGTTTTTTCGCACGATAAGTCACGCATTTCTCGCAGCCACGTCCCGGTCGATTATATTCCGTTTCGCGAGTCGGAAGGAAAAACCTGCTTCGAACACAATGATCCAGCTGCGAGACACTGAGATTTTCACGTGCCGATGAACAGTTTATCCGTTTCAGAGAACGGGAATGTCCCATTAGCGCGACAGGCTGCAGTCAGAAATGCCAGGAGGCAAACGGAGTCGAATATTTTATCATACGAAAACTGGAGCAGGTTTTAACCCTCTGGTACCTGCCGACCACTCGAGATGCTTTCATAACATTCTATTGCCACGAATGTTAAACTTGGATCGACTTCGAAAGTGTCAATCTCTCTTTAATTTGAGATTTGAAAATCAGGTCACCCTTACCACTTCGACAATCACTTTGTCGATACTTCGAGTTCCAATGAAATTAAACTTAAACAAACGGTGTTGCTGGTTGATTTACTGCGTTAAATCTAGTGACCATCAAGAGTCACCTCACGAGCGCAAAGGGTTAACTCACTTACGTCAAGTACCGAGAGAACAATACCGCGAAGAAACGATTGTTTTCGGGGAAAGTTCGGTCCTCGATCGTATCGTCGGGGCCGATCGATGTTTCTATACGATCGGTTGGTCGCCCGATATCGTAAACAGTCGGTAAATCGAACGAATGCGCTCGGCAGGTGCAAAGGCCACTCGTATCCGTATCCAGTTTGCGCGCTCACGGCAGCGTGTAACGATCTGCAACGTATATCGTAGCAATCGCATTATTCGCTGGCTTGTTATTCGCGACGATCGTACTCTAAGCACGTCGGACGCAGCTCGCCTAATTCGCGCCGCGCCGCGAAACGGACGATGATCGCGATTACGATTCATTATCCGCGACGAGTATTGTCTGACAGGGAAGTAATAACAGTACCTTTGTTCTTACCACTTATTGTGAAATTGTAACCAGCCGACGACGACGCACGCACGAACAAAAAGGCGCAACGATTGTTGCTCGTTCACCGAACGATGCCAGCTCGACGACGATGTCTTCTTGTCCGATCCTCCTCGGCTGAGATACCAGAATCCTGCTGAAACCAACAGACGGAGAATTTTCGTTATCGTTGTTACTATTAAAGGGGTAGTGTATGTTAAACCGATTTATTATTGCGACCAAGCATTTTATTGGTTCGTCTGGAATGTCTATGCCGACTTTTGGTAGGTGGTGTAGGTCTGAATGTATCGGAATGGTTGAAGACAAATAACACGTGTACACATCCCTTGACGCTTAAATGCCCTGAGTTTCAAATTTGATTCCGGACTTTTAAATCGAATTGTAATTGGTTTTTAATATTTGGCTGTATGTATATCACCATGGCATAATGTTCTTTTGAACAAAAGTTACAAAAATACATTGGTATTTTTTTAAATTAAAATTGGAAAATCAGGCTTTTAAGAGTTAAATGGTGGACAGGTTGTGGAACAAAATGGTTCCTATGTAATTCAATAAATGTATGTCAAACTTCAAATGTGTCCTTGAATTTTTCTTAAAAATTGCCACGAACTTTCTGGACAACGCGATACTCTAAGTATACGTGAAAGTGTGCAAATTCGTGTTCTCGAATTTCAAATTTTCTGCATCTTCTCGCTAGATTTACTTCGCGAAAATTGTCCCGGTTTTCTGGAGGTCAGGGTAATAGTTACGCGCCTTAAAGGTTGCGAGGCGTTGTTAGTGTTGCGTATCGTGATTGGTGGTTATTTACGCGAGTCATCTTATGAAATAAATAAACGGAAAAGGGGCCTTGGTTTGGAGCGGAGAATGCGATCCGTCCAAGCGCGAATGTCTGCTTGGAAGACGAGATCGTCCGCGTCGCTGCGGTTTTCGGTCATTTTTATCGGTCAACCGGACACGGTGATCGATGAACGCGATCGATCTTTGCTTCGCTTATAAGAGACGTGGATATTGGCCGCAGAGCCTTTCAGCGATCGAAAGAGGCCTGCGTCGCCTGACTTTCAGGGGTCTTCGACAATTTGAATAAACGCATATCTAAGCAACTTACGATTCATTGGCATTTTTTTGTTACATCGCGACTCTCATTCGTAGAAAAAGGTACAGAATCAGACTGTACATACCTTCGCGTATCTTGTATTTCATTAAAGTGACTAACTATATCGATCTAGCCACTGAGAAATCTTCCAACACTTTTTACAGAGATCGTTAATACTACGTGTTTAACAATATCCGTATATCAATTACGTATCAAATATCTTTGATGCGAGGAACATATATTCTGTATGTAGTACAACGTGTCTTATAAGTAGTACATACATTCGCATATTATACGTACCGGGGAAACTGGTTCGGAGTGCGCAAAAGTATTGGACGTTGTAGATTCAAAAACGGTATTTGGCAGAGACGATATCGTGTACAAACTTTTTCTGTTTCTGAATTTATCCCGATGTTTTCCTTCGTCGTCGACATTACAGTCGGTGTAAGAAGTATTCGTACAGCAACCCAGTAAAAATAAATGTTTCCTGCACGAATACTTATTGTGAGTGTACATTTCTTTCGTCGATCGACTCACGACGAAATGAGAAAATTCACGCGCCTGTCAATTGCAATCGCGTCGATCTCCCTGTGGTTGTCACGAGTGATAAAAAAAAAAATATCGGCCAGTGGGCTAGGAAATGTGACTGACCGCTTTCAATTCGTGGAAAAAGAAACTCGTCCCATCGAAGCCGTGGAAGCGCACGTGCTTGATCCGGCGGGCGGTCTCGGAACGTCGTTGTCGCGCGACCGAGCATGCTTCGACGACGAGACTTTTACGATAAGCAAACTGTTAATGTTAAATACGTTGTACCTCGGCGAACCGTTAAATTCTATTGCGCAAGGTGTTACACTTCTCCGTCGACCACGCTGTTTAACCTTCGCGTAGAGCTCTCCGCATTTTGCGTCGCTTCTGTTTTTGTTCGACGCTGACCGTTACCTGCGTAAACAAATGCAAACGTAACACCTCCTATTTACACGACGGAGAATAGTTATGGTGCGCTTACGTGTTCCGAACGACGCGTAGAAGTGGGCAAGATATGGGAATAAAAATTCCAAGTACCGAATACGAGTAACCCTGCGTCGAATAAAGGTAAATATACGATCCATGAAAGCGAATATTCATTTCAAGGAAATTCATTCGTAGTAGCCGTCCTCCACGGTGCTAAACGCTATTATTCAAAGAGTAGCGAGTAATAGTTGCGCGCGGAGAGGTTTACCCCTGAATGAATGGGATCCGCCTTGAATTCAGAGGCGAACTCTCCGCGAGCGACTATTAATAGTAAACCATTTTCGCTCGCGTAGAAAACTCGGGAATCGATTCTTTTCGATGGCTCGAGGTGGCGTATCCGGGAGTGTATTAAAAACAAACGTTAAAACGAATCGTAGCCACCCGAAAAATGACTAGAACTGTTCTTTACGGACTTCGAGACGGCATCAAAGCCGAAAGAGAACGAAAAGTGCAGGTCTGGGTGGGGGTTCTGGATTGGTCGGTGGCATCGAGCATCGATTCTCGAGAGGTCGATCGTGATTGGTTTCTGGCAGTGGACAGCGATAGAGCAGCAAGTAGTGCGGGAAGCGCAGTCGGTTTCTAAACCGGTCGTCGCAAAAACCTGGCTTGGCCTTCGGGGCGGCCATTTTAGAACGTTCTAACATTTGACGGTCGCGAAGGCCTCGCCGGGCTGCCTAATAAGCGGCCGTTAATCTATTATTCATTACGAACGGAGGAGAGATACCTCGAGCGACATGCAAATCGAGCGTGCACTGCGACGCGCGCGCACTGCTTAACTGCGACTCGCATCTCGTCGAACGCTAACACGAACACGCAACGGCAGGCCTCGGTTAGGTCAGCATCAGGAAATCGGCTTGGACAACGCCTCAGGCGCGAATTCGGCCATCTCGAGAGCAATTTCGTCGACGCTCGATTTACGAGAGCGCGTCGAATCGCGCGCGAGTTGCAGCCTTTGATCGGCTTCTCTGCCTACGAAATGCTCACGGCAATTGGAACGCGCGTTATATGCAGGTATCTTCTCAGGGTCTAAGACGAAACGTCGGAGCGTGAAAGTTATTCGAATAATTGTTGCTTTAAAGTGATTTTCAAACGTTAAATAAATGATGCTTATCTTTGACACTTTAATTAGGCTGAGATATTGTACGTCGATTCGTTGCAAAACCACGAAGATACGCTCGTGGTAGTTATTTTTCACGTATTCGGAAAGTAAAAGGCACTCGCATGAAGGAGAGCAAAGAACGTTCCGTATCAACGTTTCCATTGAAGACGGTATTGAGGCGAGGAGCCTTTCGAGCTGTCGCGATTAAATCAAACGTTGCTCTCGAGATGCACTCGAGCCGCGCGAAGGGCACCCTTCGTGTATTTTCAGAGGACGCGTAAACGGGACTTTATCGCCTGGTCAAGATGAAACTGTTTGCCGCGTCGCCCTTAAGGCGAAACTCGGCTGCTCGTACTAGTCGAGATAAAGTTTTAAAAAATCGCATCGGTATGCGATTTTCAGTGCCAAAAAAACGCAATATAAATCTTGGTTCCGTTTTATCGCAACTGGCGAGATCTCGGCGATTTTACCATGAATCGGAGTCGCGAGTATCTTTCGGGCAGGATTATTCGGTGGACGGGCGTTCGCTCGGTTCTTAATGACTTCGTGGAATGACCCCGCCCACGAACCGCGGTTCGCGAGCAAGGAACGGAAAACGCTGATTCGCAATTACGCGTACGGTACGCGTTTAAACCGGCCGCGAGCGTGTACGCGCTGGTTCCCGTGGATGGTTGTCCGTTTTTAATCGAAACGTCCGCGAGAAAAAACCGAGCCCAATGATACGACGGATCGCCTCTCTTCCTCCGTTGGCGTTTCGAAAATATCAAAAGGCTACCAATTATCAAGACGGGGAGACCGTCGAATGGCATTCGACGAGACGAAGTTCAACGGTTGTTCCAATCGAGGAGGCATAACGAGCGATCGCGAATTCGAGCAAAAAATTGTATCAATATCCGAGACATTAGAGCGCGAGGATGATAATAACCGAGTATCGATTCATAGGCGAGCGGCGTCGTTTTAGCCTTAATGGGCATCCTGGCCGGCGGATCGTTTCGACATACGAGTGATTTGCAACGGTGGAATAATAATGCATATAGGAAACCGGTTTTGTTTTCGATTACGTCGCGGCGATATCGGGCGCAAGGATTCGAACGATCGATAAGTACACGGTGGCGGAAGGAAAGGATAAGAAGAAGAAGAAGAAGAAGGAGCGTCTATGTACCTCGAAGGGCGACAGCGAGAGGAGGGAAGGGGAGGGGAGGGGAGGAGAAGGGTGGGGAGGGAGGGGAGAGCAGAAGGAGATCCATCGCGAAAAACGATCGGCAGATGAGGAAACCTTAGGGCCTGGTTTTTACTCGAGCCAACCGGTCGACGGTGGAACGGTTTTCGCGGAATCGCGATAAACGGCGCCGCCGACGCCGCCGCCTGAAATATCCGATTTAATTGCGCCGAGATTGCGAAAGGAAACAAAGATCGGCAGCATCGGTCGCGCTTAATTGCCTCGGACGGTATTCTTCGGCGGTAGTGAACCCACTTCTGTCTCCTGGAGTCGCGAAAACGAGAGCGTTCTCGGCGGCCTGCTAACCTGCCAGGAAAGGATGAAAACGGTGGAACGCGAAACGCGCTTGCGAACGATATCCGTGTTCATCGAGGCTTTCTTAAGCGCTGCTCGATGCCCAGCTGCGATCCCCTCGTTACATATTTATCGTACGCGCCGAGGCAAGGACGTTCCGGCAGCGACGGTCTCCTCGGTTAGACAAAAACTTTTTCTTCCTATGTTCGATTATAAATTCGTACGCGCTGATACGATTGATAAAGTTCAACGTAGTCGACGCGCCTCGGAACCAACTGTACTCGCGCAAGAAGACCCATGGTTGTCATAACAGTACTCGCCGCGTTACAACAACGGCTTGAAAAATCAAGCGTCGGTGTAATGCATACGCCAAGGTTAGTTCTCTCGCGCATTACCATAAGCATCGTGTTATTCAATTTA